CTAACCCAATTCTCTACTGAGTGACTATACTTCTAGTACGTTTTATATATGTTTATTGTGAATGGATTTGAACATATTTAGTACCATATGAAAGATAATGAAATAAGCTTTACAAAGGTGTTTTTAAAATTTATATTTGATCAATAGTTTTCAAGAGAGACTCAATTAAAAAAGATGAATATCATTCCAGTTTCCGGAAATTCCACTAAAAACCTGCATAGTTTACACTTCCTTGCCGGTACCTATATGCAATTCAGCACAATGAAGCGGCTAGTTATGGGTTAATCTCCTAGTCCAGCAAAATGTACTATTTTTTCTAAATGTTAATGTTTTTCGTATTTTAAAGACAATTTAAATTTACTTGTTTTTTGCCTATCCATAGGCATACTATTTTATTTAATAAAATGTTATATTTATTATTCTATTTTCTGCAGAATCAGACTCCGAAAATACAACACCGCCACGGCGCTTGTCCGTCGGACGTCGAGGCAATGAGGATTCCCAGCAAATGAAGCTATGTGAGCAGCTGTTTGCTGAACTCCGCAAACATCCTGAAGCTGGTCCATTTATGGTAGCTGTCAGCAAGAAAAGTGTAAGTAGACAAGAAAGTATAATACATACTCCATGTATTGCAATACATGCCATCGTGGTGGGATTCAATATTTCGACATTAATTATGTCATCATCAGTAAGTAGACAAGTGTCGCACTCCCTTATAATTGACCCTGCCTTAATGGAAACTGAACTTCTCATTTTCACATTGAACCCATAAACCAACCTCCATTTACCTCTCTAGTCCCTTTGTAAATATTTTCATTTACGTAATAGGCGTATTCGACTGGCCTGTTTTGAGCAGCTCTTTCTACTCAAACTGCACATGTCGTATTCGACTGGTCGCACGAGAAGCACGAACTCCTCACAAGAACGAGTACACTCCGAGTAGTAAATCACTCCTCGGAAATGACCATTCGAATACGCCTACTGTATGTAGGCTATATATTTTTTAGTGTAATTGAACTGCATATTGGCTCTTGAGGTGCACTTTTAGTAGCATTAAATAAATTTGAATTGAATGAATTAAGTTGAATTGTGATTTGGTGGTTAGAGTGCATACCTAGGGTGATAGGTGCAATCAATGTGAAATGCCAGAATTGTTGTCAAAGCTAAAACCAAATTAATGAGCATCATTATGTGTTTATAATGAGATCAGAATGTAGAAAGACTGGATTTGTTAGAGGGCCTACCCTCAATTTTGTGAGTTTTGGTACGTGCAGGGCTGTAAAGATGTTTTTTATGGCTGGAAATAGTTGTTTCTCCCCACAATTACACTTATAATTTAATGAGTTTTTGTTTATAAAAGAGTAAAATCCTTATATACCATCAAGGTTTTCAAAACAAATATGTTAATTATGATTTAATACTTATTATCTCAGACTCCAGACTACTATAAAATCATCAAGCGACCTATGAACTTTCCAGTAATCTGCGATAAATTCAAGCTTTTCCAGTACACCAGCCCAACAGAATTTATAGCTGATGTTAGGCTAATATTCACGAATTGTGAACAGTATAACCAACAATGGACAGATGAGTACAAGAGAAGCCGAATCGTCTCGCAATTTTTTGAAAAACGTCTTAAAGAAGTTGGTCTGAAAGTTTCCAGTGGTAAACGCGATTCATTAGACTCGGATTCTGGTTCCACCAGTAAAAGGCCACGCCGATTTTGAAGCCATGGCTTTGTATTTCTGCGATTTTGATACTGTACAACCAAATTGTAAGCACCTTACATAGATAATATATCACCGCTCAAGCCAAAAATAGTTTATATAATGCTTTTTATATGGAAGTTTACTTTTCAAGTCGCACGTCTATCCAGCTGAATGAGTGTCTGTGTTGGAATTGATGTATTCATGGAGTGTTGAAACTGGTGTGTCCTATTTGAGCAATGCTACTACATCTCTATGTGCCGAAAACAGAATACTCACTGGCTTGCCTTGCGTTGACAAGGACTATTTTTGTCTCGAGGGGGCAGTATTTATGACATTCCAATTGATTTTATACCTCATGTTTCTTTTTTGTTTTTCCTTGATCGAATTTCAGAGCTTTTATGTCAATACGTGTTGCCATTGGTAACATATAAGTATATATTGTTTTGGCAGAAATTGATAAACAGGAAATTTATGAAAATTTGAAAATTGGCTGATAATAATGTTTTGGCTAAACATGCATTGTTACTTTTCTTTCCACTGTGCCTTTAAGGACTTAATATATAAGTAAAACACTAAATGTCGCCTATATGTCAAACTTGATTTGTTCAGTGATACTAGGGGCTAAATGGGTAGATTACCAGGGGGTTAGATTAGAAGTTAATTACTGTAGAGGATTACATGTGCAGCTAAATGTGTGCCTAACTAGAGGGCTGCATATTTAGTTAAATAGAGAGCTGTGTATGTACTGTACCTAACTAAATGGTGGGTGGGCATGTAGCAAACTAGAGGATAGCATACAGATGTAGCTAATGGGAGGGCTGCATGTGTAGCTAACCAGAGGGTGCTACATATGTAGCTAGGGAAGGGCGTGGCATAGGTAACTAAGGATTGCATAGGTAGTAGCTAAATAGAAGGCTACATGGTAGTTAATTAGAGGGGTGCATAGGTAAGTACATAGAGGTTGCATATGTAGCTAACTAGAGGCTGCATAGGTAACTAATGAGAGGGCTGCATTTGGTAACCAAGTAGAGGGCTATATGTTTAGCTACAGCATCTACTGTGACAGCATAGACAAAAATTCACATAGACTATTAATTAGATATGTATAGATAACTAATCCTGCCTAGGCAATATGAAACTTATACCAAAGACACTAGAAATACAAGATACTCTCTCCACAGAAAAAAAAAACTAATATTACTGAATTGTATGATGAGTAAAAAACTAAGTTTGTTTATTTTCCAGCTGTACACATCACCCCATTAAATGAGGTGCCGCATATGGCTGGAAATAAAGAAACTTACCGGTATGTAAATTGTCATTTTCGTAAATAGAACGGCGCGGTGTATGTCTGGGAAGGCGTAATAAATGTAGGGCGTATTTCTGCTTTACTCTTACTATGTGAGAGTTTCTAGTATCTTTGCTAATACAGTACAGTACAACAGAGAGGAATTGCATTAACAGATTAGTGACATATAGTGTTGTGTCATATTTGTTACTGATGTCTGTATGATTTGGTTTCAATTAAAAATTATTACAGTATTGTCTATTCCATTTTTGAGATCACACAATATTTATATTTCATTGTGTCTACCAATTGTATCTATTTTATTAAATGTTAAGATTATGTTTCGTACCCTCCGTAATTGAATGAGAGCTAACAAAGACAATTAATTACGCAGTTGTATGACATGTTGAGGCTTGGCTTCTCCAAAGTTTGCAGGCTCAGGAAGTATGAATTTGTCTGAATAAGTCTTCTTGAATGCTGTATGCTTAATATCAAAGGTCTGTATAAGGTTTATTGAGGGATGGTATTGTAATCAAGACTTTTTAGTGTGTGTACAATGCTGTATACAGAAAAAGTATTTTGAGATGTTATTAGCTCGGAGTATGTTTCGATTTATGATAAAATTGTAAAAAATACAGCTAGGGAATAGTACTATTAGAACTATGCACTGTATATTAAGGGAAAGTAATAAAGTTAATTGCAACGATTAGGAATAATATTGTATGCTTAAGGGGGAATATTCGTGCCAACAAAATTGGATATTTTTTCCTATTTTGTGATCTTCAATTCATTTTTAAAGGCAGTTTAGTTTGGAAAGAACTACTCCATTGCAAAGAGGGCAATTCAGTGATTTTGTAAATAATTAGTGCTACCATTAATAAAATATTTCCTTTGTACCTATGAGTTTTATTCTTTGTTGGGTTATTTGTGCTGTATTAATGTACTTGAATATTTGGTGCCAAAATTGCTTAGTTAATTTCAAGGCCCTAGTGGATTATCCACTGGACCCCCTGTCGAAAATCTTTGCCTTCACATAAGGCAAATCCTGGCAAAATTGTAGTATCCAGGGCTGAGCTGAAGACACTGTAAATATCCTACTCATCCTTCCTTCAAACAAAGACAAATAATATTAATAATATAATTAAAACTGATTTTATTCAAAACAGGTCTCAACATATCTATTAAACAAGCATATTTTAGACTTGCTTATTTTCCATTTAGAAAAAAATATATATAATTTTTAATTAAGCAAACTACAGAAGTTAACCAGGTTCACTCAACTTGGATCTGCTTGTAGACCTTCCATGCGAGGTGATTGAAAACCATTTGAATGTGGTCAAGCGTATTTTATATATGTGTTTTATATTTATTTGTTGAGGACCCCTTAATATCAGCTCTCCATTAATGGTGAGCTGCACAGGTTATCCTCATCAAATAAATGAATAAAAATAAGCATAATCACAAGTGTAAGAAATGAACAATAGCCTCTGTCCTCAGTGGCTTCACCAGCTTGGGTCAGAGTAAAACTACCCCCCTCCCAAGCCCATTGCATATATAAGCAGTATCCAAAGGTATTGTGATTGCCAATCTGAATTATGTGGTCTAAAAGCATAATTTCAGGATATCCTACGCCATAAAATTTCTACACATGAACCCCACGAGGAAATTTATTCTAGCGACCCTGACCAAGGCTGTACACAGCCCTTTGGTTCAGTCCCCCTGCCAGACTTCAATAAATTTCTTGAACTACCACTGCCTAGATTTTGTGAAAATAATAACCGTCATTGGTCTATATGCGTGTGATATCATGGAACATAGACACTTCTTTGAGTATCACTGTAGAAATTAACAGATTAGCATATAAATGTATATTCCTGGGTTGCTGGTGGAGTGTTAGAATGTGCATCTTTGTGAACAGCAACTTTACAAATAACTAATATTAAGAACATGAACAAATAATGCACATAACATTTCAAATTCTGGTAATGATAACTAATTGTATATTTAAACATAATTTATTGCTTTATATTTTCCTCCATTTTCAAATACCTATCACCTAGTAAAAAAAACTTTAAAAAATGATGTCAGCACAAGTTCCACGGAAGAGAGACATTTAAAACAGATCACAAACTCATCCAGTGCTCATTGTGTATATAATAGAACTCCCAGTCTTTAATTTTACACATTTAAAAAATGTTTATTAGATGAATAACAGAGGCTATCGTCAACTCTTATCTGGTGGTGAAGATGAGGTTGTACCAGTGGCAGCCCGCCACAGAGAAGCCATTGAAGCTGCTGCGGATGACACAAGTCCTCCGGCAGTGTGGACACTGGCGGTGACGTTCATACTTGATCGTCTTTGCGTAACATCCTGTTGGCCCAAGTTCATAGCCGATTGGCTGTTCGGGAAAGGAATGGTAACAATACTGGATTTGGGAACGTCTTCCCAGTCTTCAGTCTGTAACTCCGATTCATAGTCTATTGCTCCGGTGTCGCTGCTTTCAGAGTCGCTTAGGACTACCTCTGGAGAAAGAAGTCTGGCTTCAGTTAAGCTCACTGTCACATCAAAAGGGCCACACCTAGAAAAATGAAAGGCAAGTTTATTGTCCTATTCTTCATCAGAGGATTTTAACTACAAATATTAAGCTTGGCAACAGAAGGATCCAAAATAGAAAGTTAGAAAGGACATACTATACCAGAGGGTCACTGATGATAATAATAAGATTTATAAAGCACACATTTCCACTACAGTAGTGCTCAAGGCACTACAGTGATGTCTTTCTCACAAAAATGGGCTAATTGCACATTATTAGTTATTAGTTCACATTATATTTCCTCCAACCACCTGAAGATGGTTGCAATGTGAGGCACTATATAAATCAACAATTATTATGTGTATAAAGATGGGAAAATTAGACCTGGTATGGTGAGATGGGCCTAAACCAATGTTGAGATTATACCCAATTTAGCATTCTTGTTAGACACATCAACTCCCTTACCTTCCAAGATAGCCACTTGTTGGTTCTAGTAAAGTCAACATATTCCTTAGTGTTCCATATGAGAGGATTTTCTCAGGAGCTATCTTCTACAGAATCAAAGAATGAATGGGCTATTGAAACTGTAATTTAATATACATACTAAATCATTTATGTTGTATTATATACATTAATATGAATGTTTGTTATGTATGGATACATTATTAATTTGAAATTAAAGTTGAATTTCAACCAATCCTTATATTATCTTTGGATTTTATATTTTTATTTTATTCTGTTCCTTCACATCCAACAGCAAGTACACTCGCGACTTACAGGATGGACCAATGCTTCTCTAATTGAGGCTTAGGTAGTGGATTTGTTTTTAGTCATGAGAACAATTCCTGTTGTGACAGGAATTGAACCCAGGACCCTGGGATTAGAAGGCAAGCATCTTAACCATCAAGCTATTCGGCTCTACTCCACTGGAGTCCATTTTCATTCATTTTCTGAACTTTTTATAAAATATTTGATTACACTACCTGTGAGCTACATAGATACATGATATTTGCGTTGAGGTTGGCAACTGATTTACTGAACCTTGAAGGACTCATCTCTTTCCCACAAAACTCGCTAGAAGGATAAAACAAAAGTCAAATCTCCATTCAGGGAATAATAAAGAAAGCAACTGCATAACTACAGTACAAACAAATATAATAACAACAATAATAATAATGGTCGACTTATAGAGCACATATTATGGAGACCTCTATATGCTTAACATACACATTAGAAAACAGGCCAAGAAAGTAATACTTAATCCTACTCTACTGTAACTGCAGGGTCAGATCCAAAATCAATTAGCATTCTATTTTTTCTTCTTTCAGTACATGACATGCCACTGCATATATGCAATTTTGAGACTGGTTGCACTAGTAAGGCATACACAGACCAATCATATTGATATTCTATCAATGACTTAACTGGAATTACTGTACTGTACAATTTCATTCCTGTAGTTCAGGTCCATAATTTCAATTACTATATGAAATTCTCACCTAAAGCACAGCTTCCTGGGGAGATTAACACCAAGATAAAATGAGACGAGACAGACAAGGTGGGCTGTGAAGCAGAGAGCAGCACTCAGTTGGAATGCTGGGTTACGCAGCTCAACCTCTGTTCCTGGACCCCTTAGCAGAGGCTCATTCGTTTCAACTATCAAATTAAATTAATTAAACAAATAATTAACTAATTATTATTTTGGTACAGACGTTACTTAACTATCATAATTAACTTCTTTTTTTTTTGTAACATTTCATGAAAAAGTTACAAACACATCGACAGTTGAAAAAACAGGCAGAAATTTTAGAAACAATGACAAAAAACATTTCTCTTATACTTAAATTATCTTTTAACAATGAAGAAAAAAACCATGTTTCTTTCCGCTAATTAGGATATTTAACCCCTGGTAATCTCTAAATGAAACATCTAAAACAATTAAATTCAAGGTATGTATTGATTAAATGCTTTAGCAAAATTAATGGGGCATAGCAAAGGTACCTGTAGTTAGGTTAATTATTATTTTGGTTTAGTTATTAAATTAATATTTTGATATTAGTTATTAAATAATATGTGAAAATAAACAATAATTTTAATAATTAGAATCAAAAGAGTGAATATTTTATTTTATCAGAAAATAGACTTACTCCATGCTGTGTATGCCGAGTAGTCACCATTACCAGGCAACAAAACATCCTCATCAACTATCAAATATTGCACTTCACTCTGGTTCTCAGAGAATACCCATCGACCGCGCACAAATGAGGTTTGACGCGCATCTGCCAATGCCGCTATTAGGTCCTCTTTCCCTTCTTCATCTTCATCACTTTTCAGACTACTAAAAAAAAAAAATACATCTGGTATTGTTTTTAACCTTACGAAAAGCCCGCTCTTTGATATTGTCGCTTGGCCTGGGGCACTCGCTGCGGTCGTTGCGATTTTATGAAAAACGCAACACCGCAACATATCGTTTTTAACGGCAATCCGTTCAGACTGTTAATAACAAACAGCAGACGGGGCCGCGTCATCTAGTGCTCACAGGGAGTGGAGTTGTATTCGGTGTGCGACAGTCGTACACCCATCCAAAGACACAGTGAGTTCCCCGCTTAAGGTCGCACAAAATGAAAGTTGTAATCTACAATTGCAAACATCTCTGTATTAAAAGGATAGTTAATCAGCAAGACTTCCTCTAAGTATCACTTAAAGCTAACAATTAATTTGATCCTCTCAAATGTGATATTCAATATGATTATAAAAATTCATCAGGATTATTTTATCGTTCATGATATCAAATGTTTCTTAATGAAAATCCAATGATAAACACATACTTATTAGTGAAACATCGCTAGATAAAGTAAGTGTTTATCATTGGATTTTCATTAAGAAACATTTGATATCATGAGATATTTAATGTTTTAATTGAATTTCATAGGTTTTTCCAAATGTATGACAGATGGTATGTCTATAAGTTATGGTCATGCAGTTAATATGAAATAAACATGTGACCCTCACATGACGTATTTGTGAGATGAAGAGATGAGGGTATGATTAAAAAGTGATTAGAGTAAGATTTAAGGGTATTACACTGAGATTAACAGGGATTATGATTTTAAAGATTAGCAAATGGCATAGAACAGGCATATATGATTATTGGCTCACAAACAAGGCAGGCACAGCTAAGTGAAAATATTAATTCAAGAAATATGTTTGAGGTAATATCGAAGTAATCAGTCACATCAATAGAGTATTTTGAACTTTGTTTATATCATCATGATTTGATCAAAAGTTGCCTATTATAATATATGATTAATTTGTGTTGTGTGTAACATATCTAAAAGTAAACAGCCATGTCATGCATGCCTATTAACATTATAGTAAGAACTAGTAATAATTCTCGATAGAATCTCTAATAGAGATGTTAGAAAAGTTGAATAGGCCAGAATGTAACAAATAGTCACTTGTTACAGGATGGAACAATAACTTTACAACATTTGACAATAGAAACAGAATTGAACTCATATAAAGACTATAAACTAATAACTATACCTTGATACACTTAAATATATGCAACACTAAATAATTAAAAAAAAAAAACAACCCAGAAACACAGAAAACTTTTATTGGGCATCATCGTGAATGATGATAGTTCTTATATAATTACTTTATACATTTTCCCCTTACCTTCTTATTTCAGATATTGGAAATATATGTAGCACAAGTTGATTAACTCTTATTTTGCGTGTCTCACACAGTTCCTCCTCCCTTTCATCCAACTTGTGTCTCTTATCGCTAAGGTTTTCTTTAATTTGTTCTGAGAAAAATAAAAATTATTTTTTACATAAATAAAAGAGCAACACAGTCAACAATAACAACAATCAAAATATGAGTGGTGTAGGCTTGGCCATATTAGTCAAAAGTAAGGAGTAAGTGTTATGGCTAATAGAAAAACTTAAGTAATAGGCATGGAAGCCTCATACCTCTGTGGAGTAAGTGTTATGTCTATTAACCAAATTAGTCAAAACTAAGGAATAAAGTGTTAAGCATTTCTATCATCATGGAAACCTCCTCAACACATGCCACCCCAGCTTAAACACACATTCCTTTTATCTCCAATATCAAGAAATTAAAGTCAGGCTATTGAGTTACAATTTTTTTGATAACCACCCCTTTTACCTCCAGTTTTTTATTATTTAAAGATCTGTATCTCATTAACCCTTTCTGAGTTTTTCATCAAATATGCTTTTTATGTCTTAGAAAAATCTGTTGACATATCAAATTTTTGAGCCTGACTTTAATATTTACCATTACCATACCTATGTATTTTTTTATCTTGTCTAGTTTATGACGGTGACTTTTGGCTCTTGATTCAAATTGTTTCACCTGTTCACTCACTGCATTTAAACTTTCTTCATCTGTTACAAGCAAAAAACATTACAACATTAAGTGCATAATGGCATAAGAAAAACAATATAATATAATTTCTTTTTAGTTAAAAATATATAATATAATTAATATATATATATATGTATATATAAATATATATATATCAATAATATATTATAATAAAAGCAATATAATATATTTGTTTATACAATATATAATGTATATTATATATATAACAATATAATAATAAAAACAATAAAATTTAAATTTGTATTCAGTTTAAATAAATCAATCACATTCTTAAGTTACATCCACACTATCAAATTTTATGTGACAAATAAATGTGATGTGCCCATATATGGGCATGATGATGTAATATTACACCCAAATATGGGCATGTCACATTTATTTGTAGACAGAGCTTTAAAATCAAGGATGATATTTCTTATAAGAATTATTAAATTTACCTATTCGTATAATGAAAGTAAATTATCACATTATTATATAATCTCAATGCATAATAAACAGTTTTATTTTCTAGGTTCTTCATAGATTTGTAACACACAGGCTACTGAGAAACCATAAATTAAATGAGCATTCCACCGGTATTCGTCATTGTGAATATTACTATATTGTAATTTCCAGTTGTACCTTTAGTCTTCTTGGTTTTAATTTCTTCAATTGATTTTTTCATAAATTCTATTTGCTGTCTGAGTTGTTTCACCTCCCACTTCTGTAAAACAGAAAGAATATAATTCCTGATGATTAAGGTGCTCGTGATTCTACATGCAGTACTGTTGAATGTAGGTCAGGTCAAAGAAAATTATCTACTACAGTACTACAGTATTATTTCTATCATATTGTTTTTCTTGCTAATGTTCTTAATTATTCAAACACAGTAATTTCCAATAAAAATATACCTTGGCTTCTATTTTTAATTTCTTGTCCAATTCAGTACACAACCTGTAAAGATGTTTTAGAAAGATTGATACAATAAGTTATTCATTTTGATGTGTAATACTAGGGAAGTGCTATACAGAATAACTACACATTTATTATTATTATTATTGTATATTTATATAGCGCATATCTAAAACTCTATGTGCTTAACAATTCCAAATTAATCATTATTTATTTTATCAATGATATCATTATCATTAATGATACCCATTTACCTTGCTAATATACAGTATATAGTATGATACATCATTAATTAACACATGAACTGGAAACAATTAGTTTATCTTACTTCTGATAGATCCTATTATGTTCCCCTGCCTTGTACCTTTGGTACCGTTCCAACTTTTCACGGAACCTGTAGTTAAAAGTAGTGTTGTTATATAATTGAATATTAATTATTATCTTGAGCAGAGTAATAATAACTGAACTTTCACTTATTATGTATTATAATCAGTAAATCTGAGAAAAAGAAATGAATCATCCTTTAATATATTGTTAGGGTTTGAGCATTCCTTCACCTAACTAATATGAAGGGAACTAACTGCCTATGTGGCTTGGGGCCAAAACTAGTATAGGCCTAGCTAGTAGTGTATCACTTGACAATCGTCAAGAAAATAGCCATAATCCCATATTCATGGTTGTCAGCATTGCAATAGATAGACCTTTAAAATTGTAAGAAGGTTATGAACTTCATCTTCATACAATGCAAATTTGGTTTTACATGACAACACAGTCTACATGTCTTGGTAACTAGGCTTAGGCCTAGCTTAACCAAAAAAGAGCATTATTAGTACATTAATTGGTCCCTGCATAGAGGTCCCAGGTAAAAGCTTAGCAGACCGTGACATCAACAATGCAGAAGCCTAGCCTAGCCTTCCGTCCCGCTGATGACAACACACTTACGTTTCACAATCATCACTATTCGAACGAAAATAATTTCCTTCCTGTATGCAATTCTGACAGGTAAACGGAAGATGTGTTGTATTACAAGATGGACAACGTTCAAATGCAATTTTTAGTCCTCTGTTTAACTGATATTGATATTCTTTCAAAGCATCATCACCATTTAACTCCATCGCATATTACAGTAGACTGTTGTTTTTGTTGTGAAAAAAGAATTATGGGATCGCTTTCATCATCTCATCATCAATATTTGCGTCCCAATGCGTCATACTTTGATGACAGTACAGTAC